CCTCCCAAGCCATTCCCAGTGGATCCCAAGCAGATCCCTTACTGCTGGCGGAGCTTGCGGCAGCTCTCGATGTGGGAAGGGTTGTTCTGGTGCAGGATCCAGTCCTGGGGATGGAAAGGACACCCGGAGAGGTTGGATCAGAGTGGAACACGTCAGCCCTGCCCACACTCTCTAGTGATGGTTGGTGTGTTTTGCCTTCCACCACATTTCACCTCAGGAACGATCTTAAGGTCAAAATTTCCACTTGGGATATTAAAACCACTCAAACATTATCACCACGGGGTGTCACAGAACACAAAGTGGAAGGTGAACAAAATGCCTCGTGTTCCATGAAATAAATGAAGGAATTAAACCCCCCCAGCACCCCGGGGGCTGTCACCACACGGATCAGGAAAGGCTGATCCAATAACTGGGCAAATTAAAGGAAATAAAGCCATTATTGGCTTTCACAGGCTGTCAGACCAATGAGCACCCCCAGCAAGCCCAGAAAACACAGAACCCCAGACGTGGCACCTCCAAGTCAGATCTCATTCCCACCCCAGCCTGGCTTCCCATGCCTGGAGCCCCAGAACATTCACCCCCAATCACGTCACGGCTAAAGGTCACTCCAGAGCCTGGGGACGTTCTTCACACACACACTGATTTATTTTACAAAAAACAACCTCATCAAGGGGGTTATCTTGAGGAAAACTGAGGGGTTGAGTAGAGACAGTGCAAGCCCTCGAGCTTGAAAAATATCTTAATATTACTTACAAATCCTTAAGCTCAGGTTTAACTGTGAGCAAAGAGTTCCCAGTGTGGGGAGCTGGGAGGCAAAGGAGTCAGTTTGCTGTGGAGAAGGGATATTCCATGGTCTGAAACTCTAAGGTGTAATGTATCGGTGATAATTATTAAATATTCCTAAAAAACCAACTTCCAGCTGCTCTAAGAGCATAAAATACAATCAGATCTATAATAATTAATATAAAATAACAGCTGTAAATTCAGCTGGCAGGCCGGGCTGGGCAAACAATTCCCAGCTGTGAAATTCCACGTCACTTTTCCCAAGCACAAGCTGGTCTGGAAGACAAAAGATGCTCCAACGTGTCTCTGGCAGCATCAAACCCTCTTGTTCCTCTGCCAAAGCTCTCGTGGTGGGAGGGGAAGGATCCCTGGGAAGGGCACAGCTCCGGCTGGGAATGGCCGTTCCTGGCACTCACCAGCTCAGATGTGCTCCAGGACTTCCCAAACTCCCAGAAACCTGAGGGCTTAATGGAACTAAACTGCATTTGAAGCACAAGGTTTGGTGTGGCTTCCTGCAGACACCAACAACCCACCTCAGGAGGCACTGGAGGATCCACTCACCATGTTCCCAACGTTCTGCTCATCCCAACTGCCCCAAACGAGGCAGGAAAACTGTCTGGGATCACTCTGCATCCAGCTCACGAGTCAGAAGCAGCAATTCACCATCACACACTGGTTTTCCCTAATTCCAGGCCATCTCTAAGCAATCCTGCTCAAAGGATCCCGTTTTTCCAGTCGATTTAGCCAGGACACAAGGGCTAAATCGAACGAGCTGGTAGAAATTAAAGGGAATTTGGCTCCCAGAATTCCGCTTCCACAGTGCCAGAGAAGGGGACACGGTGCCAGTGAGGCCCAGGGAGGGCATTTGGTTTCCAAGTGCCTCCAGCTGCTGATCCAATGCCGTTCCTGGGATTACAAAGGGGGATTCTCCTCCCAGCAGACAAGGACAACGTTCTTCTCTTTGCCAAGTCTTTGCTGTGCCAAAGCCCTCCTGCATCCCAGAGCTGCAGGAGTCTGGGTTTATGGATGTTGCTCCTCTTTGACTCATTCCTGGCCCTTCTCAGTCTTCAGGAATATTCCACTGTCTACAGACTCATCACAAAATCCCAGAAAAGTCTGGGTTGGAAAAGTCCATCTCATCCCACTCCTGCCGTGGGCAGGGACACCTTCCACCAGCCCAGGCTGCCCCAAGCCCCTTCCAACCTGGCCTTGGACACTCCCAGGGATCTCTGGGCATCCATCAGTCCCCAGAGACGGATCCCTCCCCCCCAGGACAGGATCCCTTCCCATCACATCCTGCTCAGAGGAAGAACTTCCATCCAGACTCCTCCGGCAGCTGCTCCACAACCCAATTCCCCCCCACCTTCCCTCATCCCATCCCACCCTCCTCTGCCTCAGGGATCCCCACCAGCAAGGTCCTGACACAGCAGGGGAGGGAGCAAAGGGTCTCCAGTCCCACACTCCCCTCAGCAGAGGAATTCCAAGTGCAGTTCTCTGTGGAAAACAAGGAGTCCCCGTGGCTTCGTGCGGTTCCAGGTCCAAGACGCCGACTCCGCCCTCCCTTCACATCAGTTTGGAGAACAAAGCTTGTGATAAATACACAGGAAACACCATCCCTTTGTGCTGGAAACTCTGCAGGTCCACTGCATTCCAAAGGGGATGTGTTTGGAGGCGGAGACATCCCACTTTGTTATCCCAGCATAACCCAGGCTGAGGTGGGAAATGGAGCTGCCCTGTGAAACATTCACACAGCGCTTCCATACATCCAGGGGTTTGGGAACAGCTGAGAGGAGACAAGAGGGAGGTGAGAGTCCACCTGACCAAGGGCAGAACTGGACACTCTGCCCTGAAAACGTGGCAGGACACGAAGACACCAATTTTTGAGAACACCTTCCAGGTCAAGCAGCACCAATTTACATCTCAAATCCCGTTTTTAAGGCTCAAAAAGCTGACCTCGTGCGAGGGTTCCCTTCCCTACAACCCTGAGGGAGCCACAGGGACCTTCCCAGACTCACTGAGGTGGGAAAAGCCCTCTGAGATCAGCCAGTCCAACCTCCCCAGCACTGCCAAACCCACCACTGACCAACTCCCTTCCTACACAGGTAGAAACAAGGGGGAACCTGTTCCCTTTGGGATGCTGCCCCAAACCCACCTGTCAGCCCCCGGGCACCTGCACTGACCCCAAACCCACGGTGGCTCGGGCAGGTGAGGGGCCTGTTGACCTGCCATCAATCACTGCACTCCAGGGCCATCCACATCTTACCAAAAGGGTTCCAAGTCTAAAAATATCTATTTTTCACAGGCAGATCCAGCACAGCTCCGGATGCAGATGGGAGATACCACAACTTGTGACTTCTGAACTGTGCATTAGCCAAAAACCACCTTAAAACCACATTGAAGTCTGTAGGAGGGAGGTTCAGGATGGTTTCTTCGTTACAGAAGAGCGAGAAAACACATTTTCTGTCTGACATTCCAACCTCTGTGTTCTGGTACTGCAGACACCTCCAGGCCATCTTCAGCTTGGATTTCATCAGAGCTCCTTAATTGGGGGAGATAATTAAGGAAGAGCCGCAGGGACAGCCAACAGGACAACTTGGGCAACAACAGAAGGGTTTTTCAATCCAGAGAACACTCAGCTCCCAGTGTTGGCACGTTCAGGGCAGAGCCAGGCCAGAGGGACACGGAGGGGAGGATGTCTCACATCCAGGTGTAAACCTCTGGTTTTACTAACCACTGGCAGGGAATGTGCTGGAATTCTCTTCCAAGGGGCAACTCAGCTTCTCCTTCAGCCCCGTTGAATTTGAGGTGAGTTTGGACTTCAGTCCAAGAGGGGACTAAAGGCAACTATGGAAAACTGTGAGAAACCTGAACTGGGAATGCCCCACTGTGACATGGCTGGAACCTGCCCTTCAGACACTCAGCACCTTCAGGATTGAGATGAAGAGAAGTGTTTCTTCACTCAGCATCTTCCACCGTCCTCACCTGCCCTTGGGTCACACTCTGCCCTTTGCTGCCTGGCTCCAGCCCCAGGAGCAGCTCTGAGGCCTCCTCTGGACTCTCTGCAGCAGCTCCACGTCCTCGTGCTGTTGTTCCCAGGGCTGGAGCAGCTCTGCAGGGGGGTCTCCCCTGAGACAGGTGATCTGCAGATCCAAACCTCGGGGATTCCTCGTTCGCTGCACTTCACCCATCCACAAGATCAGCGTTTCTTCAACAAACTCTTCTTTTTTGCAGTGAAACTTCGACTCTTCTGGTTCTTTGGCCCCGCTGTTGTGTCAGCAGGGCTGGTCCCGTGAGGCCTCAGGTGCACAGACACCAAACACTGCCCTGGAGGAAGCTAATCCAGGCCAGAGCCAAAGGAGGCGGGCCAGGAGCAGAGGCTGGGAGGCTGCAGTCGGATCAGGATGTCTGGGAACACATCCTGTGCTGCAGGGCCACCAGGACAAGAACTCATAACCTTTAATCCACCCCCAAAACCTCCCAGCTAATTTGTCAACAAGTATTTTTAGTAACAACATTTGCTTCATTTTCCCAGGCTCCCGTAAGCGAGAGACTGGAGAATTCCCATTTACACAGATCCCACTCTCCCAAAGTGCTTCTTTTCTTCCCTTTATTTTTCCCTTTAATTTTCTAGTTCCCTTTTCCCCTTTATTAACACCCCCCCAGATTAGTTCAATTTCACCCATTTTTATTTTAAATCAAGACTTCCTTTCCCACTTCCAAGCTGCCCATCTCCCCGGCCCTCAGTGCTTCCCGGGGGAAAGACCTTAGGAATTTCTGTTTATTTTTCCCTAACCCACCTTTAGCCAGTCAGTTTTTTAATTCACAGCAGAAACAGGGCCCAAAACCTCCGGGATTTTGCCAAATTACAAAAAGTCCCTCACCCCCCCCAGCCTTTCCCCACGTTGCTCAAACACTGTGTGCAATATAAACACGTGAAAAAATTATTAATGAATTATTCAATGTTTTTTGTTACCCTCTGCCTTATTTTTGATATATCAAACGCTGGGCTTTCCAGGAAAAGCCACAGCTTCCAGGATGTTTTTTATCTCCCAGTATCCATCAGTTTTCCCTTTTATTCTCCCTTCAAGGCTGGACTGTGGCTCCCTTCAGAGCTGGAAGCTGGGCCGGATGAATGGAGGCATTTTGTGTGTCCCCCCCGAGCCAGGCTCCAGCCCCTGGAACATTCACACAGAGCACGTCTGGAAGAGGAAATTTCGGGTTCTAAATGGGCTGGTTTGTTTGAAGGCAGAGTTTGGAGCAGGGAGAGTGAACACATGAACGTCTCCCCACCCTGCGACGTGATTTCAGTCCCCCTGATGACGTTAATGTTTCCCTCCACTGCCAAGGGTTTGTTGTGGTGTTGTTTGAAACCCGCTGCAGAGGCAGAAACCAGTTGTGATATTAAACAGAATTAAAAATCAACGTGTAAAAACAGCTGTGAAATGCAACTGGGAGAGGAACACAGCGTTACAGCCATTTCCAGCACATCAGCACTCAGGCTGGAGACCAGCATCCCAATCCAGAGAACTGCCAGGAAAACAACCTGGCCCCGAAACAGGAGAGGTGCCGGGCACACGCTTAGGGGATAATCTGGGAAAGACACACTCACCTTCATCTGAGTGCATTCAAGGTTACACAGAGAACACAAATGTGGGAATATTCGCGGCGACGTCGCATAGTAGTCGTTCATCATGGACGGGGTGGGCAGGCGTTTGCTCTTCTGGGTGTCGGAGAACACGGGCAGCCAGGACGCCTTCACCACCCCGAACGGGGACTTGATGGGCCCCTCGGCGTGGAAGCCTTTGGGGCCCCCTCCGGACCTCCCGGAGGCGCTGCCGGAGCCGCTGCCGGAGTCGCGCTGCTTCTGCTCGTGCTGGCTGATGGCGGCCAGGAGCCCGGCGGAGAAGGGCGGCGGCGTCACGGGCGGCAGGACGTGCTGGGACACGGGCGGCTGCACCAGCGGCGGCATCACGGGCGGCAGCAGGGGCTGCGCCAGCGGCGTGGGTAGCAGGGCCGGCATCATGGGCGGCAGCACCGGCGGCATCGGCGCCTGCGACGCGGGCGTCACCACGGGCAGCGCGGCGGGCGCCGGGCACAGCCCCGACACCTTGGCCGGGGGCTCGGCCGGGAAGAAGGGCGGGGCGCCGGACGAGTCGCCCTGGAAGGCCGGCAGCTTCATGAGATCCTCGGCCGGGAACACGGGGTTGCAGGGCACGGCGGGCGGCGGCACGGGCACCGGCACGCTCTGCTCCCGCGGCACGTCCTCCCTGCCGTCCGCGCCCGGGCCCTCGGGGTTGTACACGCAGGCCTCCAGGGGCGGCTCTGGGAGCCCCTCGGGGCCGTAGGGGCACACCTCCAGCGGGTCCTCGGTGTAGCCGTACTTGCTGGCGTGGCCGTAGTCGATGACCTTGCCCTTGACGGGCGCGCCGCCCGGCTCCGATCCCCGCTCGTCCCCGCGGGCCGGGGCGCGCGGGCCGGGCGCGGGCTGGCCCAGCTTGCGGATGCGGATCTCGCGCAGGATCCGCGGCATGTTCTCCGGGGTCAGCTGGTCGTCGGGGTAGCGGCTGAGCTCCTCCAGGTCCTCGTTGGACAGCCCGAAGCTCGCTAAAATGCTGGAGGCGCTCTCGGGCGTGTAGCGGTTCTGGGCGCTCGAGTTCTGCTCCAGCACCGGCACCGGCGCGGGCGGCTTTGGCGCGGCCGGGCACGGGCCGCTGTCCCAGCGGTTGGGCCGAGGGTCTCCCTTCTGCTCCTGGTGCAGGTTGTTCTTCTCCTTGACCTTCCTGGGATCCGCCCTGTGCAGCGTGACCCGCACGTTGATCCTCTGGGAGCCCGTCCACTGCAGCGAGTCCTGGCCCGGGGGTCTCTGGGGCGCTGCCTGGGGGGCTCCCGGCGCCGGTTTCCTCTGCGGCCCCGCCGCCCCTCCTCCTCCCCCGAAGGATCCCGGAGGCTTGCTGCCCGAGGGGTTGGGTCCCCTGGGCCTGGGGGGCAAGGTTCCTCTGGGGCTAAACATTGCGTCTTTGGGCAATGCCTGGCGGAACCCAGCGTGGGCAGGGGCCGCGCCGCCGCCGGACACCGAGGACCACGACTGCAGAGCCAAGTGGGTCTTAATTTGGGCAAGCTGAAAGGGAGGAGGGCCCAACACAAGGGGGCCGCCAAGGCCAAGGTTCAGGGAATTCACAAGTGGTGCGAAACTTTCCAAGAACAACACAAAGCTGCAAGTTAAAAGACAAGGATTAGATGGTTCGTCTCGTCACCTGCTCACAGCGGGTGAGAAAAGCAACCCAAGGCACAAAACGGGGTCTGCGGGACAGTTAAAAAGCTCAAAATTCTGTTAAACAAAAACATTTTCTTTCACTGCGTAAAACCTTAATATAGAGAACAGGCAATTAAGTCAACGAGCTTTAGCCAATGAGCTCAAGGTCACAGGTCACACAACCAGAGAGGACACTTGGAACAGCACCGGTTCAAACCCGGCACTTCAATTCCCCGGGACAACAGAGTTTGGGGTTGTTTACAGGTCATTTTATAAGCAATGAGGCAAAGGGTGAAGCCCCTCTCCAAAGGCTGACGAGGGATGGACTGGAAGTGAAACCATGACATGGAGAACTCAAACCGGTCACAACTCGGTGTCAGGTCGCTGAGGAGCCGAGCTGAGGTCGGAGCAGCTTCCAGGAGGACACTCCCATGACACTCTCATGGGTAACAACTAAACCCTGCAAGAATTCACGGGGCGTGACAACGCTTGGGTTCTGTGGATAGAAAATTTCCATTTCCCAGATGTTAAAAGCAAGAGCTTAAATTGAAAGGACTTGAAACAGAGAGGTGTAAAATCATACAGAAACAAAAAAACCATCTAGACACATAGAAAAGCACCATGGCCGTGGGAACTGGGTCTGATTTTGGGGCAAACCAGTGAGAGTTCAGTCCTGTAAGGCAGGAAAAGCAGGTACAAACAGAGGGAGAGTAAAATTAAACACCACAGAGTTCTGGAAATAGAATCACAGAGTGGTTTGGAAGGGACCTTAAAGACCATCTGATTCCAGCCCCTGCCATGGGCAGGGACACCTTCCACCAGACCAGGCTGTCCCAAGCCTTGTCCAACACGGCTTCGGACACTTCCAGGGATGAAGATTGAGACAAGAACAGTAAAACAACAGAGCTGTGGCAAAGCTGTGGTGCAGCTCCTCGCTGGCCGAGCAGGGGACACTGGGAAGTCCTTGGTTTAGGGCGAGCACAACAACAGCCAAAAACCAGCGTGTTCTCAGCAGCATCCCCACCCCCAGCCCAAAGCACGGCACTGCAGGAGCAGCTCCTGGGATTAAAGAGTTCCCTCTGTCCCAGCCCAGACCAGGAGAACCCCGAATGGCACAACCAGAGGCACCCCCAGACCCCTCTGTCGTCCCCAGAACTGCCCAAGTGCTGCTCTGGCTCCTGCAGTGACACACGAGGGGTCACGGAGTGTTCCCGGCAGCGTTCCCGGCTCCCGCTGCTCCCGCTGTTCCTGATGCTCCCGGGTTCCTGCAGCGCCGAGGTTCCTGTCACAGGGCTGGTTTTCCAAGCTCGGGGAGGTGACTCCACACAGCAGCTGTTGGCAGGCAGGGGTGACTCTCCCGAGGTGTCACCTGGAAGGACTGAGGTGCTGAAGCCTGAGGAGCACGAGGAATAAACCCCACAGGGAATGACCCATACACGGGCGCTGGAGAGGATTTCCCAGCTCCGTTCCTGGAGCCTGTTCCTATCTGTGTGTCCCTTCTATCAGGAATCACTTCATTGGGACTGAGTACAAACTGCTCAGGCCAAGGACAAACATCAATCCTGTCACACACAGGGAGCCATAATAACCAGATTCCCAGCAGACAGCAATCCCAAAACTCCGGCCTCTCATCCAGGGCTCCTGGCCCAATGTCCCTCCTCCCTCCACAAGTTCAGTGGGACTTCAAAGGGAGCTGCACGTGAGGCCAAGTTTGCCCAAGACAGTTTCCAAGCAGACGTGAACAAACACCCCGAGCCACCTCCTGCCTTTCAGTTTGGGGTTTCCCTGGAACTCTCAGCACTGGAGGGCAAAAAATCCCTCTTGGCCCATTGCTGGGGGAAGCAGCTGGAAAGGGAACACTATCAAAGCCACCCATCGCCAGAACAACCATGAATATTTGAGGAGAGCAAATTTTAAACACAACCAACAGGTCAGGAATCTCCCAGAGGAGAGAACAAACCAGGAGTCCAGCGGGATGAAGTTTTACCAGTAAGGCACCTCCAGGTGGTGCAGGTCACTGGGTCACCAGTGTGTTGGGAGCAGGGATGATCCCACCCCAGGATCTGGAACCACTGCCACAGCTCATCCCAACACACCTCAGCTCACACCTCCCAGCCTGGCCAGGGTGATCCAGGCTGGAATGGGCTTGGAGCAACCTGGGCTACGGAAGGTGTGCCTGGCCAGGGCAGGGTGGGATGGGATTTAAGGTCCTTTCCCACCCAAACCAGGGAGGGATCCCAGGATACCCTGCACAGCAGCGGTGTGCAAGGAAGCCACTGCCAGCTGGGGGTCCGGAGTGACCTTTCCAAAGGAAATGCTGGAAATGGCAGCAGGAAATGCTGTCTAAGGAAACGCCAAGACCAAGGAAACAATGGCCAGGGATGTCAGGGGAGGGGCTCACCTTCCTCCTCAGAGCAGCTGTGCCTGGGGAGTGTCTGAGCCGGGGCACTGCTGGGACAGGGACACCCCCGGCATTCCCAGAGCTCCGAGCTGGGGCTGCAGTGCCAGGGGAGCCATGGGATGGGCTGGGTGGGAGAGACCCCAGAGCCCACCCAGGGACACCTCCCACTAGAGCAGGTTGCTGTGAGCCCCGTCCAGCCCGGCCTTGGAGGAATCCTTAGGGGAAAAGCAGGGAGGTGCTGTGGATGGAGGGAGGGCTGAGAGCACCCCCAGCACTGCTGATGCATCCCAGTTCCTCCCAGTGCCCAGCTGGGGCAGAGGGGCTGCTCACACCCAGCCCAGCAGCCCCTCACCCACTCCTGTCCCCGTCACCAGCCCCCCCAGGGCCTCGTGGAGTCCAAGCTCTGCGTGCTGCAGGTCAGAGGGAACGATCCCAACCCCCTGGAGCCGTGTCCATGGTCACTGGGAGCACCAAACACCCGCCAGCCCCAGCACAGCACGGGCACCAACCCCAACATCACTCCGGGGCAGTGCCAGGCTGGCTCTGGCACCTCAGGACAGGGTGGAGGCGGATTTCTGGAGTCCCCTGGGAGGTTTATCACAAGAGAAAGTCTGGTGAGCCACCGGAAGGAGAATTTTCCCATTTGTCCCTATAAATAGCACGGAATTTTCTGGCTCTGTGCTAATTGCAGAGCAGACAAATAAAGATGGCCCTGCACCCCCCAGGCTGGGAGAGCTGCTCCAGGACTGACCATATCCCCAGGGATGGGGCCATGGCCACATCCCAACAACCAGATCTCTTCTGCAGGTTCCTCGGCGTTCCTCTGACAGCCAAACCAGCCTCTGGAGGGACCTGGATTCTCCTCTTCCTTGCTGTTCCCGGCACAGAGATGGTGTCCGGTGGGAGCTGAGGGGCTCCACCTGCCCCAGCCCCTGGCAGAGCCCTCAGGGGGGACTCCTGGTCGGATCATTCCTCATCCAGCCCCTGCCACGGCAGCCTGGACATGCCTCCAGCAGGCTCAGGAAGTGGCAGCTCCCAGATCCCGGAGCCCTGGGACTGTCCCTCTGGAGCTTCCTCAGGTGCCACACGGGGTGCTGCCCCTGCCAGCACAGACCCCCTGGAGGGACACCCACCTTCAGCAGGACGTGCCTCGCTCTGGTTTATCCACTGTCCATCCATGGTATCCCTCGATCCAGGGGCGCTCCAGCTCCTCTGAGGGTGCTGAGCCCAGCCCAGGTGAGCTCAGCCCAGGTCCAGCCCGGCCCTCCCTGATTTTGGCAGAGCCAGGGCAGCCCCTCCTCCGGGTGGTCTGTCATTCCAGCAGGATCCCCTGCCTGCTCAGGCAAAGATTCCCAGGATAACAGAGGTGAAAACTGCTCCCAAATCCTCCCACACCTGGGCCACCCAGGAGCTGCCTCCGGGCACGTTCCTGCTGCCACCTCCAGATCCAGCAGGATCCGAATTCCAAGAGCCAAGACCAAGCCCAGGCTCCCGGCTCCCACCACCGGGAATGCTCTGGACACACAGAGGGGTGTCTGCAGCAGGGCAGGATCTGTCCTGGAGCAGGAGGACAGAGGCAGGATGGCTGTTTGCCCCCATGGAATGGTGCTGGAGCACCTGGATGGCAGGAACAGAGGCCACATCCCAGCCCAGGCTCCAGAGGCTCCCGGATCCTGGGCTTCCCAGGGCAAAGTAAATGGCAAAGCTGAGCTGGAATCACAGAGCCCAAAATGGACCAGGGGTTGCTGGGCCCCAAAAAAAGCCTGGGAAGGGAAAGGAAGCACTTAGGGAAGAGAACTCCTGGGAGAAAACAAGGACAATGTGCCAGGGGAAGGGAGACAAAGGCCAAGCCAAGGCCCTTGTTCCTCCCCTCCCACTGCACACAGCAGCACCCTGGGAGCCAAACTGCCCCTGGCCTCCCTCCTCTGTCCTGGTTTTACCTGGGAACAGGACACTGCAGGTGTGGAATATCCCTCCAGCCGGGTCTGCAACATCCCTCCAGGCTGCAGGGAAGGCCTGACCTTGGCCAAGCTCAGCTCAGCGCAGCCCAGACCCGCCTGGTTCAGCCACAGATCCCAAGCACAGCTCCCAGCAGAGGGAATTCCATCCCTGCCAGAGCCAGGGAGCCACTGGAACACCACCACCAGCCACGGGATCCACTGAACTACCCCCAGCACTGCTCCATCCCAGCCTGGCCAGCAGCAGGTTCATAACAAACACACAAACCACCACCTGCACGAGGCTTCCAGCAAGGAATTCCTGGGCCAGGACACAGAAAGGGGCACTTTAGCACCAGGAATCCACTGGATGTCTTTGAATTTCCCTTTCCACATCAGACTCTCGAGCAGCACAAACCCTGCCCTGTCTCACAAACATGTTTATACACAAGCACCGGCTCTGTGTGCACACAAAAGCCTCACAGACAGAGCAAACACCAACATTTCTGCCTAAAACTCCCTGAAAGAGGCCCAAATTCCATGCAGAGTATTTAACTCGGTGGCAAAGAAATAGGAAAACGTTTTATTTACCTTCAAACGTGAAGCACAAAAGGAAAACAAAGGTCCCTGTGTTGTTCCTCAGACCCGGACGAGCTCCC